CTTCTGCCTCTTGCTGGGCATCTCCCTGGCTGCCCTCCTGGGCAACGGCCTCATCATCAGCACCGTAGCCTGCGGCCACCACCTGCACACGCCCATGTTCTTCTTCCTGCTCAACCTGGCCCTCGCTGACCTGGGCTCCATCTGCACCACTGTCCCCAAAGCCATGCACAATTCCCTCTGGGACACCAGCACCATCTCCTACACAGGATGTGCTGCTCAGCTCTTTTTCTTTCTCTTCTTCATCTCAGCAGAGTATTTCCTCCTGACCATCATGTGTTACGACCGCTACGTGTCCATCTGCAAGCCCCTGCACTACGGGACCCTCCTGGGCAGCAGAGCTTGTGCCCACATGGCAGCAGCCGCCTGGGCCAGTGCCTTTCTCTACTCATTGCTCCACACAGCCAATACATTTTCCCTGCCCTTGTGCCATGGCAATGCCCTGGGCCAGTTCTTCTGCGAAATCCCTCAGATCCTAAAGATCTCCTGCTCAAATTCCTACGTTAGGGAACACTTTCCTCTTATGGGTAGTGCTTTTCTGTTATTTGGTTGCTTTGTGTTCATTGTTTTCTCGTATGTGCAGATCTTCAGGGTCATGATGAGGATCCCCTCTGAGCAGGGACGACACAAAGCTTTTTCCACCTGCCTCCCTCACCTGGCCGTGGTCTCTCTGTTTATAAGCACCTCATTTTCTACATACCTGAAACCTCTCTCCATCTCCTCCCAATCCCTGGATCTGACCCTTTCAGTTCTGTACTCGGTGGTGCCTCCAACCCTGAACCCCCTCATCTACAGCCTGAGGAACCAGGAGCTCAAGGCTGCAGTGAGGAGAATGATGACTGGATGGTTTCGGAAACATTAAACTGCTGGCCAATTTCTGCAAATTGCATGTAATAGAATTAATTTTTCATAATTCTTGTTGGTTACATTTTGGAAGTCCTTTTTCTTTGTTTTACTTTTTTTCATATTATCTACAAATAAATGTCATTGTTTCTGCCATTTCTCTTTTTTTTCTCTCCACCTTCCCTGTGGCTACAGACAGTGTCAATGAAGTGCTAGGCTTTAAAGGAATGAAAGCATCTCCTAGCAAAGTTTTCTGCAGAGATGCCCTTTTGTTGCCTTCTCTTGCGCTGCAGCAGCAATGTCTGTGTGCAGAGCTGGCGGCAGATCAGTGCTGGCACAGCAGCTCTGCCAAGCAGCAGCTGCACTTGGTGTTGCCAGTGCTGCTGCCATGGCCCTGCCCCGCTGCCCTGGTGG